TCGGATGTTTTCGGAGATACTTCCCACGCGTTTATTTTTGACGTTTGTCAATTCTGACAGTCATGTCAGTGAATGTATTCGTGTTAGGAGAAAATGTACCCAAAAACTAACGGTCATAGAAACGGTAAATTAAACTAAAGTCTGATAGATTCTAATAGATTTCGGGGTTTTATATTATTTATTGCTTTTTTCCCATTACAATTCAGTATATTTGAAATTAGAATTTTATGGCAGCCAACATTGATCCCCTAGAATATTGTTCGCAACTCGGAGGGGTTCGAAAAGGTTCCAGATAATGTTTGGTTTATACATTATATTCATCATTATGCACATTAAATATCGTTACGCTCTTTGGCTCGAAAACATAAAGGGGTAGTTTAAAAGAAATGACTGACGATATTAATTTTATACCAATCACAAATAGATTTTGGGATTCGTTCATATTCATGTGTCTAGTTTAGTTTCAAAATGAACAACAAAAATAAATATTGATTCGAGGCCCAGTTAGCAAATATCGACAGGGCTTTTAGTCAAAATTAAATTAAAAACAAACACACGTTTGTCAGTGTAATGGGTCATATTATTTGGCTTTCGTATTTAAATGCATTAACGTTAAGCTATCGTATTAACAACGTATTTCCGTTTGTACCACATCAACCGTATCAGTAAAGAATAATTTGGGAGCCGAAAACAACATTAATTCGATCAGAATTTGAAATTTAAATAGTACGCAAACATTTTGTTACCTACCAACAAAATTCATCTCGATAGTACAAGTCACTATTAGTTATGTCGCACATAAAAGTGGCATTGTTCATGACGGCTTATATACATATACAAAACCGTAACGCTGTTTGTTATTAGTTTAACGCTCGAAAAGTTACGTTAATTTTGGCGTTGATTTACTTCGAAAGCTAACAGATTAGAAAAGCTCTCGCGCCTGTACAGTTTACGGTCTGTTTGAACTACTTTCGAAAATTAAATGTTTTGTCTGCTGAAATAGTGAAACAGTCAATAAATGCAAATTCCGATTGTTCCGAAACAAACTTCGGAACTGCGGAAATGGCTCAGGTTTGGATTTGGGTTTCCCACGTTATTACGACCCAGCTGATATATAGATAAAGTGTTCGAAGTGTTTTCGGAGCGCGCGCATTGAAGATGCCAAGTGAGATTTTGGCGAAACGTCTGCAGGATTCCAGTCGGGGTTCAACAAGCGAACGGATGATATCCCGGAATATAGTGTCATCACATTTTTCCATCCGTGAATCGATACGTGAATATATATATATATATATATATATATATATATATATATATATATATATATATATATATATATATATATATATATATATATAGAATTGTCCAAGGGTCGAATTCATAGATATTCGATGAAGGTTACTTTAATGTTAAACTATATTATATTATTATTATTATTATACATATATATTAGTTATACTTTCTGGAAATTTTCAATTATTAAATTAACATTTTTAAAATCTTGAAAATAATCGATATCCAGAAATGTATTGCCTTATATACACTATGACATTATGTATCAGATAATATATTTACTACTTTACAGATATATTTATCAGGCAAAAATAAGTGTGCTTTTTCGTACAAACATGTGTCCTAACTTGTTCTATTTTCGAGATACTGAGTATTTAAGTTTTAAAAAATAAGTATTTATTTATTAATCATCATCAAAAAAATGCTCTGGGGCGCTATTAGACCTAATTAGTTTATTTAACAAAAAACAAGAACCCTTATGACGACAAATAAAAGTGTCCAGTTTTGTCAAAATCAGATAAATTAGTATATTATGCAACAGGTGCGGTAAACGTCATTTGACTCATGACTTTATTTGACACGAGCGGAGCGAGTATTTAATAAACGAGTGACTTAAAAAGTTTCCCGAATGTGTTGCATACTATCCTTTTTCTATGACCGTTAGTTTTTGAGAACGTTTTCGTAAAACAACACGAATACATTCACTGACATGACCGTCAGAATTGACAAAAGTCAAAATTCAAACCGTGGGAAATATCTCCGAAAACATCCGATTGCTCCCAAATCCGTGCGGTAAAATCCCGGAAATATCCGAAGTGGCTCGGATTCGTGGGAAAGGATACTGACGTGGTAAATTCTTGGGGAATTCTGACCCAGCCTGTTTATTTGAAATAATTTAGTTTTTTATTCATTGGGCATGGCAGATAATAGAGAATAACTGCAGATATGAACGATTGCTCCACTAACCACTAAAACTAATCGTTTTTTTATAGAAAAAATAAAAATTCGAGAAGCTGATGTAAACAACATCAGCAATTATTAATAAAGCAAATTGAAAAACTTTTAAACCCTAGTTTATTAATTCCATATCACAGGCCCAATATTAAAATATAAGTATGGACCATAAACATTCGCATTTGTTCCGAAAATTTTGGTCTTGAAAAGTCCAAATTACCCTTCACAGTGTTATTTCCACGGGGAAAAATAAGAATCAGTGGGATTCTGTAGTAAATAAGCACGTTTTCGTTAAACTTTAATGCGCAGTGCACGTATGTACTTTACAGTTTTAGACACATACACTCCTTAATAACTCGAAAAATGCCGGGCAGTATCGGAGCTAAACCCCGACCCACCATCTAGTCCCATTCGCCGCGTACTCTCTTTACTCATAGACATGCCTACTTTTCCAGCACCGCCATAGTTACCAGTTGCTGGAATTCACTATTTACAAACTACCCGGGCGCACAACAAACTTCAAAGAATTAAAGATGCTGTTGAAATTTTCGTTAGCTACAGTTTTGGATGTGAATATTTATTAAGAAATGAGACAAAGATAATGGTTTGTTCCAATTGAGCAAATCACCAGATTCGCCCTTATTCGAGTGTTTTCTTATAAAGCGGCAATGTTTTTAAGTTTCGTTGTGACGCAACGAGCTAATTTCAATTTAAAAGTATCACTAAGTATCAATCTATTCTAAACGCGTGCAGTCTCCGCGTATTCCGAGAAAATATTGCGAAAGAAATCTAAATTGCTTTCCCGGATTATACTTCAAAGCGCTCCAGATTGATTTATCCAAAGATTAAACATACTTTATACCGGCTATCTCGGCTCCATCGAACAAGATACACCGAGTTCAGATTCGCTCTATTAAGTACGATACAGTCGTTTCCGAACTTTCAATAAAGTTTTTAATTAAAACCGGGGGTTTCGGAATTTAACTCTGACTGATGTTCCTCATCGGAATCAGAGCGAAAACATAACGTTCTCGTTTTCTGTGTTGCCCATTTAATCCGGTTAAATGTAAATTTAAATTTCTGGAATGTCCTATCTGTTGAACAGAAAATGTGTAACAATGCTACAGCTCGAAAATACTTTACCTTTTTTTACATTTAATAGTTGTGTTGCACAGAGAGTTTCTAAGCAGAGGGTAGAAGAGTCGGTTAACTAACGAGAAATTTTAAAAACCAAAATATCTGCAAATAGAACAAACTCTCGAAGAAATGTAGCAATTCGTTTTATCTTAAAACCTTTTTTGAATTACTCAATTGACAAAATTATAGATAATTATTCATTTACATACACTAATTAACAAAAAGTCTATCTGATACAAATGTTTCTTGCTAGAGTTTATACAGGTTGTTTCATTAATCGTAGAAGATGCCTCAACTGAAAGTAAAACAGTGTCATCCATATTGAACGACTTCAAAATCGTCAACAACAACATATCAATTCAAAATATAAGATCGTCAATTACTAAAATTATATACAATTATTCATCTACAGTTTTCCTTGAGTTTATACAGGTTGTTTCATTAACCGTCAGCAGAAAGTTAGTCCATAGTTAATCCATAATGAACGACTTGAAGATCGTCAGCAAGAACATATTGTCAAATCAAAATCAATGATCATATTCCTATTCCTTTTGAATTAAAAATTCATGTCATAATTTATAAATCAATGACTTGAAGTGGTAGCAACTAACTTTTACTCTGTACCTATTGTACTAACCAAAACTTTTGAACTTTTTTCCATGCTCAAATCTGTGTTCAACTGAAAATTGAAAGGTAAAGTTGTACATATTTTTTGTCATTAATGTCATAGTTCATAAGTTGAAAATTGCAATTAAAGACCACTTTAGGAAATTCCAAAAAAAAAAAATTGTATAACGGTTTTAATGCTTGAAGTAAGAAATAGCAACTCTAAGGTAGTTCAAGGTGCATTATTTACGCGGACGAATATATCAATTTTTTTGATAGATACAATTCAAAAGTCAAAAGCTTTAACACTACAATTTAATCGTAATAACAGGTTCAATGTAGCACGTAACATATGTATCAAATATTACCTTCTCCTTTATTTCTATTGCAAAAACCACAAATCTTCGAATTTTAACTTCGATATCCTCAGAATTGCCACATTAATGTACTTTTACTTTGGAGTAGTTTTGGTTAGTTGTAGTTTACGGTTGAAAATAGATAATGATCCATTTCTACGAAACGTTGTTGAATTAAATAAAAATTAAGAAAATATAAGTTCGAAGTTCTCTTAGCTTCAACACTGAAGCTGTCAATTTTCATATCCATGCTTAACTTAATAATTGTGACGTATATTTTTTTACCTTGTGCTGCCGGTAATTTTTGAAACTTTCAGGAATCCGATAAGCCATATTTAGTTGTCTTAAAGTCTCGTTCAACGTTAAATTAAGTTTTCATATTACTTTCATCGTAACCCCATCCAGGAGCCATATGTTATAAATACACCATTTCGACGGGTGCACACATCCAATAAATTATTTCTTCAAGTTTTTACCGTCGGATTTAATGTGTTCCGTTAGGAATCTATATGTGACGGGAACAGCGTTTAGGAAACGCAAACATAAAATATGGCGACACGTGTTCCGGCAATAAACTCTAGAAATTTTGCGAGCCATAAATCCCGGTTAGGATAGAGCGGTATTTTTGATGAAGTTCTCATTTTTTTGTTACAGGTTGCTGTTTCGTCACTTTCTTCACAAGGAAGGCGGCCCTTTTGGCTCAGGACGCGTTGCATAATGTAAAGACCTTAAACGGGGTAAGTTTGTATTGCAATATTATGCTGCAGCTTAGTGTCTAGTAATAGTTTTGCATTTGTCTAAATAGCGCTTTGAAGCGTTATTAGAAACGACTATAACGAAGATAAACAAATTTAATACAAAAGTTTAAGCTGAAACCGGCAATTAACCTTCCGCATAGAAGCTAACAGCTCGAGGGGCATTTTTGCGAGTAACGATAATAAAAACTAAGCGTGGAAATTTCGCCTCGTTCCCGGGAAGTTACTTGAACTAATTCCGATTGTCAGTAAATTCTGATCACTCCTTAAAATAAAGAAGGAAATTAATGGGCTTTAATGGCCTCGTTCAAACAAATAGAGATAATTTTCCATGTTAGATAAAGAGACAATGACAGTCGTACCAGAATTATAACAAAGTAATAAAATATTAACACCAATTTAACAGAAATTTTATAGTAATAAAACAGAGTCGCATTATTTTTAGAGAGCTGTTTTAAATTTTTTAACATAACAATTACGAATTTCAAATTTAGCTCCACCTTATTATTCAGATAAATCAAATTTTTGTCTGTCGAGTTATGCATGATGGGATGCCAGTGCTCCAATATTTACATGAGATGTTTCTTCCTCGGTTGATTGGCCGGAAGTCCAGTCCTTCTCGAATTTTCTATGTATCATAACATTTAAAGACATTTAAGAAAGTTTTTGTTATTATTATTACCAACATTATTATTGTTAAATATTGGTTTTTTAATACATCCGTACCTTTTCATATTTTAAGTATTTATAAAAAAATGAACTTGAATATTTACATTTCTTCTTTCAGATTTTCATTATATATCAACCACAACTCGACAGATAAAATTTTTATTACTATACTAAAAACACGTTCCACATTAATGAGAACATTCGGAATAAAATCTTAATTTTGATCGGACTTTATCTCCAAAACTAGCGATATACCTTTCTTGAATTTATTGAATTTTTAAATATTAATTACACGGCCGTTAATTGTTAACCTCGGTTACCACTGGTAATGCCACCATGTGTAGTGACAGTACTAACCACTTCATTTGATCAAAGGAAAATGGTTAAAACTGGTCTCATACATCTTCTATAAAGCATTAAAATGCAACACAAAACTACGCCAATATTTCCTCCGCCCATATCTAACAACTGGAACCATCAAATAATATTTTAATTATTGATACGGGTAGATGATCCAAATTCGCGCCTTTTAACCTAAAAAATCATTTTGCCCGAATAGCCATTTGCAAATATGTAAGAGACCAAATAAGAAATACAAAAACCAAAGAAAAAATCATTATTTTCCAATTATTTTTTATGTAATGATATAATAAAAAATAAATGATTACTTGAATAAACAACAGCCAAGAAACGAAAATAATTTATAAAATAAATAAATAGAGAAGGCTGGGTTAGATTTGGATGAGTAGTATAAACAAGACAGCCATACACACGTACATGATTATATAGGGTGAAATTCTTCATGCTCAAGGCACTAACATAGGCCAGAAACGTCGTTCTGAAAATATGATCTTTTTCAATTTTTTTGTTTGCAAATGTTGCGTCTATATAAGATATTTTCTTTTATTTCGAAACTTTTTTTTATTACTATATTTCATTACCAGGTACTTGATAATATGTTTTATTTCGAAAATTAAAACTTTTTAATTTTAAACGACTTCCATATAAAAATAAGGGAAATAAAGTAAAGATTGTTATAGCATCAATGCTGTAAGCACCACAGTTCTAAAACAATTAATGAAACTACGGATACCCCTGTATAATAACATAAATGTTAAATTCTGAAGTATGTTTACTTTTGCTAAGATTAATACTTGATAAATATACTTTTCCAATAATACTTACGGCATCGTTTTTATACATGGAAAATTAAAAAGTTTGCGATGTTCAAAGATCTTGGTTGTGAGAGAATCGCGTCGCGGGGGTCGGGACATTTAATTCAACCGATATGCCGGTATAAATTGTATTCGGGACCCTTTTTTCGATAAAACGTCGATAACCCTTGTTCGGGGCTTTAATTTGGACGATATTTTAAAGGGAAGTAATTTCGGGTGTCGTTTTTTCTATAATAATTCTGCACAGCTGCCGCAACGCATAACTTTCTTTGCGTAGATTTCGGTGGATCCAAACTCACACTTAAACACCCATGAATCGCATTCAAGAATTTATAAACTGCAAAATTCCATTTATATAATTTTCAGGCGAGGCAAGCGTTTTCCAATTCTTAGAAACGTCATATTCTTATAACTTTAGTTTTCCTATCTTATAGAAAATAAAAATGTATACAGCGGCTACATCTGGGTACATCTCCACATTTTCTACTCCGAATTGTGTGTTTGTTTTATTTCAATTTGTATGATCGTTCTAACTGCAGTTGTACATTTGATAAACAAGGCAAAACATTTTACTTTTTAACAATCATTATTATGTTTTTATTTCGAACGTTTCAGCGAGATGCATTATAATCTGTTCCTAGCCATTGCTTCAAAAACATAATTAACATTGGAAATAATTATTCCAAAATTAGTCGATCTTTCAAAGTAAACTCAAGAAGAGGACAAAGTTGTTTCTTTTCCTGTGGAACTCTTCTATCAATTACGGTTTTAAGAGGATAGTTCCTGCAGGTAGGGAGTAGAGCGAAGCGTAGCACACGTAGCATAGTAAATTGGCTAAACTGTGTCGAAAAATCGGACAACAAAAATATTACTACGCGACAACTAATAATAAAACTCAAAATAAAACCGCGGTGTAAAGTTTTTACATTTCACAAGTAGCAGGAAAATTTTGGTAAGTTTGAGACGCGGATATAGCTTTATATATGCAATAATCTCGTTTTTTTTATCTTTGCACTTAATAAAATTAAGTTAATAATAATAAGAGTAATTAATTAATGAAATGGAATTTTTATTCGCCGATTTTGATGGTTGAAAGTTATTGTATATTTTTGGGGTCCTTTTTTCCAAAAAACTCCATATTTTTGCTCTAGCACCTAATTGTTTTTGTAGTGCTCTTCTATATCTCAAAAAAATTATTTTATTAGCATACATACCTACGACACGAACATGTTTGTTCCATGTTAGGCATAGTTTTTATGAAATCAAATGTGATTTGGAAACACTGGATAATATTAAATTTCTCTGAAGAGCAACAAAGTTCGCGCAGAAGCGTCAATACGACATTGTAACTTACTTATGCTTAGTTTGGTTGTATTGGTCCTCGTGTTACTGCGTTCGCGGCTGTTGTCTTCGTGGTTGCGTATTTCTAGTGTTCTAAAACGTATAAATATGGAAATAAGACGTTGTGCGAACAATCCAATAACTTTTTTTTTAGATCTGTGGTATTTCTGTCTTAGGCAAACTATAACTTTTTGTGAAAAATGTATAGCACGCTTATTTTGGTGTAAAAATTGGACTCCTCAAACTGTTGTTTCGTTTGCGTTGAAGCTTAAGAAACTGGCAAAAAGGAAGGAAGAAATATTCAAGCTTTGGTGTTCCGATGGTATGGCGAGAGCCTTGGAATCAGTGACGATAAAATGATATAAAATGATGATAAATAAAAAATAAACTATTTTAGAAATATCTTTTTTTTTATATATTTGCAAAAAAAAACCTTACGTGATACAAATAAATGCATAGAATTTTTGAAGTCACCCTACCAAAATTATATAAAATCAGTTTTCAAAATAAAAACATCTGTCAAAAAAATTTAGTCTTGTAGACCTGCGTAATTCTTTTCATGATCTATAATTTTCAAGTTATTTTATTAGAAACAATCACCGGTGAGCAAAGTGGTATGTAATTATGAATTTAAATTTCACGCGTAAAGTCACAGCTACACAAACGCCTATATTTATGTGGGAGATTTATATCCCACATCGTCACCCACGTAAAATAGGCCCATAAATAATTGAAACGAACTCTGAAACACTGGAAAACGTTTGAGAAATATGAATTATACAAGGATTTGCACATTTCTACTGCGATAATTCAACGCAATTATCAAAGAGACTTCCGCAAAATAAATGCTGCTCTAAATTTATATGAATAAATCGCTTTTGAGGCCGATAATTGAACGGAGCTATAAAGTTATATTATTAGATTTTTGTTTATCAGCCTTTCGTACGTCTTCGTAGTTTTTTTATTCTTCCTTTTTAACCTAAAACGAAATTTGTCGTGTAATAATTTAAAACATAAAATTTGAAATTGGTGAAACGTCTGGCCAATTTTTAATAAATGAGGGAGATATATTACTGTGCAATATGATTGTACCACCTTGTATGTATCCCGCAGATATTACGTTCTGGTTTATACTTATCGAAAAATCGAAAAATCCAAAAGAGTTGTAATATACAGGGACTCTATTTAGAAAATGCGTCTTTGACACTTTCGCGCTTTTGGGGCACTTGTAGAATGTGTATGTAATTTTAAGAAGTAAAAATAATAGAGCTCCACATACCTCAAAAGCATTTTTTTTTAAACCGCGTTTAAATTACCCTGTGCATGTAATGAAATAAGAAGATAAATTGTTGAAAAAATACTTATATCTAAGTTAGAGTAGTGGCAGAGCGGCAAATGAAATCATAAATTGTTATACTGAAACAACGCGCTGTGTTGAAATCTGCAACAAAGACCTCTAAACGTCGATGCATAAATCACGTTCCCGTCGCGTAAATTAATCAAATCTTGTAACCACCAGCATACATTTTCCCCGACGCTGCAATCCGTAGCTGATCGCGCCCCCATAAATTAGCATTATAAAATCAGAACTCCGTCAAAAACTCTCGCTGTTTTGCGCCGTTTACGCGTAAAAAGAACCTCAGGGCATTATTCCTTCAGCGTTTTCTAATATAAATGAAACTGAAACACAAAACGATGACATATCACACATCTAAAATTAAACATGTAAAGAAATGATACAGCTACGGAAAAAGAAAAGCAGCCGCCAAAAAATCAATTTCTACATAGCAGTGGCCC